CCCGAGCGCAGAACTGCCAGATCCGGAAGGGGCCACGTCTCTTTGGCTGGGTTCCCTGGAGCCGGTTATTCTTTAACGCACGACTGCCCGCCTCTCCCACCCCTCATGGGACCCCTGGGCTGGGTGGCCCGAGCCCGCCCTCGGTGTCCAAGTCCGACCTTGGGGCAGCCACCCTGCCGGCCGGCTACACCCCCATCTAGAACCAGCCTGGCCTGGCGACACCACCCCTAATCTGGTCTCTCTCCCACACTGTCTGCGGGCCAGGGTGACAGGGCCCAGGCACCCCAGGAGGCAGCCTGTCCCCGAGGTAAGGGGATGCTTTTTGAGGGGCTTTGAAGAAGAGCAGGCTGTGAGGCTCGCGGCGTTCATCCTCCCTGCGCTGGGCATTTATTAAGACGCTGGCAGGAGAGGCCAGGGCAGCCAGGACCCCAGACGCTCTCAGGCTGCCCTCTGCGGGGGACCGTGAGGGAAGAGGGGCGCTGGAAGAAGAAACGTCTGTACTTGGGTGCTAGGGCAGGGAAGGGTTGGAGACCCCTGTGTCGCTGAGCCCCGCAGGCTGAGGCAGGAGAAGCAGGAGGCCTTCATGTCTGATCTGTTAGCTCGAGCTGCAGGCTGCTGGCTTGAGCCCCCATCTCCTGGATGCTCTCATACACGTTTTCCAGGTCGCTGTGGGTACTCAGGCCACTGAGTGGGAGGGCCTCATAGTCCAGATTCCTCCCCCAAGTCAGAATTGCCACTCTGCCTTTGGGGTCCGGCTGGTCTAGGGCAGATCCTGGGGCCCTCCTTTTAGGCTTGCTGATCCTGGAGTATAGGGTATCCACCTGGAGGAAGCCCACCAGCGGTGGCTCAGCATCATCAGCTCTGCCAAGGATCTACCCAGCTCCACCCACTGCACCCCACCCCACCACCTCCACTTTACCTGAGTGGCTGGGGTCCCCTGGGCCTTCCCCTGGTCCAGGCCTTGGGGACCCCGACCTGTTCCCTTGAGCTTGTGGATACAAGCATACTCAGCCACCACCGATCTGGCCTCAGGCTCGTCTCTGGCACAGCTGCTGGTCAGCCCTGCCCCTGCCCACACCACGGGGCTGGCTGCCAGGCTGGCCCTGGGGATGGCTGCCAGCCCCACATTGGAATAGGTGGCCTCAGGGCCCGTGGAGGGCTGGGCAGCAGCAGTAGGTGAGGTCTGGGGCAGATCCTGGTGTGAGAAGGCGGCTGGGGGCCTGGTGGTGTCTCTAGACACCTCCAGACATTGTAGGCGCAGGAGATCCATGCTGGCAGGCCGAGGGGCTGGGAGTGAGGTCAGGGCAGAGGTCAGTTGGGGTGGAGGGGTGGAGTCTGACCCCAGCAGGTTAGAAGGTGTGGTATGGCCAGCCCCACCCACAACCTGGCTGCTCCCTTGGGCTCACCTGTGCGGTGGAGCGGGCCCTGGTGCAGCTCATGCAGTCTGGTGTCTGACTTGCTGAGGATGCAGAGGGGAGGCTGTCTCAGCAGTGACTGGGGGCAAGGAAGGCAAGTCAGTTCCCGCTGGCCCCGACCTGGCCCCAGGAACAGCCTGGCACTCACCATTTCCGCTGGCATCATGGTACCCTGCAGCCCTGCTGGCTGCCTCTGAGCCTGCTTCCTGGGGGCAAGAGGGTCGTCAGGCCAGGGATGCAGAGTAGAGGTGCAGGGGTATCGGCCTCTGGTGAAGAGGGACCTGCCTGGAGCCCCACCCCCTCTGGCCACAGCACTGAAACAGGTTCCACATGGAACCCAGGCAGGGAGGGACATACCTGTGGCAGGCGGCGCACAGCACCCACAGCCAGAGGAGCAGGGTGAGGCACCCTAGGACCCAGAGGGCAGGAGGGGCTGAGGTGACCAGTGGCCCCATCCTGGGTAGCCCTGGACTGGCCTGAGGGCAGAAGACAAGGGTCCTGGGGACTGGCGGAAGGACTAGACACCCACCTGCAGCCCCGTCTCGCCTCACTGCTGGCGGCCTCCCGCCCTGGGAGCTCTGACTCAGCACACAGGAAACCCGGGGCTCAGCGCCCTCCTACAGAGGCGGAGGAGCAGCCTAGCGCCCACCTTCCTTTCCCGCCTCTGGGTGGGGGTTCCTGGCCAGTGTGAGAATGTGTGCTCTTCCTGGCCTCATGTGTGCCCTAGCCAGTGACGATAACCCACATGACCGCAGAGCATGGCCAGAGAGAACCTGGCCAAGGCTCCACTGTGGTCACTACAACCCAAACCTGAGGCCTGGGGACGCCACTGAGGTCACATGCATGAGCCTTCGAGCCACAGGCCACAGACTCACCTGCAGCCCTGCCCTGCCCAGGTAAGGCCCTGCCTGAGGTGATGCCTTAGTCATTCGCCACAGCTTGGCCCCCTGAGGGGCTGAAGAGGTGGGGGTCAGCTGGCAGAAAGGGGCTGCTTTGGGCACTGAGTACCCTCCCCG